GCTGCCTAGCCAATGGGCATACTGCAGGAGGTAGAGGAGGTGCAGGCCAGGATGTTCCAGTTCCCTATGCCCTCGAGGACTGGCACCATCATTAGGCAGCATCTTCTATAGTCCTGTGGAGCTTTAAACCCACCACTACAAGATCCAGACCCCAACCAGCACCCATACATCAAAACCATACTGACAAGGGACCATGAAACTAGTGGCAACTTGATTCCCTGCTATTCCTTTACCGGATGGAGAGACCTGCCGGGACAGCAGCTTAGCCGCCCCACCTTGTGTGACTTCCTGCTGTGACAAAGTCTTAGGAAAGCTCAGGAAAAACTGCTCTGCAGGGCTCACCTTGTGTCAGCGTGGATCAGCTGTTAAAAGTTCATTGTCAAGACTACAGACAAATGAAAGCAATTTCTGCATTTATGTACAGAAAATAAGGTCTAACAAAAAAAGATAAATCATGTGAAACACTAATAAAAAGGTTTACTTATATTTTGTTATTTTGGACGTATACACTAATATGCAAGAAAAACCTTTTGCAATTTGAAAAGTGCTTTTATCCGTTAGTCTAATTTATGTTGCAGGCTTGTCTAGTTGCTGTATTAGCATAATGGTCACACTGGGAATCAGATAGGCCACTTGTGGGACACTCACACCTGATCACAGAGACACCATGGCTCTTTGCCAATCACACCTCCAGAGTTGATTCTCCCAATTAAAAATCACCTGGATTTATTCTTGGATTTGTCAGGTTGTTCAACATCAGTTAGATGTCCCTGTACACTGAGGTTTTTTCTGTCACAAATTGTTGTTTGGATCGTAGGGGATTTTACACGGGGGCCCACAGATTACCGTCCTTGATTAGTGGTTGGGTGTAATCCTTTCAGCCCTTCTCTCTCCTAAACACCCCTGGGATATGCCCGTCTCCCTGAGGACCGGCAGCATGGCAGATGGATCCTCCTCCCCCTCTTTTGCCCCCTCTAACAGCACACCCAAAAACACTGTTGATGTCCTGGGACGGAGGTTGTAAAGTATCCTGAATATGAAACCACAGGCACCTTTGTTTAATGGCTCTCTCCCCACTTAGTCAGAATTGCCCTCAGGCCTGATTCCCATTCTGTAGCTACATTTCTGCCCGATTGGAATGTTTTCCAAGTCCATTAGCCTAAAGGAAGAGGAATAAGATGCACACAATCTGCTCATATTGTCTGGGTGAGATTCTGCTAGATCTTATCAAAGCAAACCTTTTGAACCAGATAACTATAATTTGTTGACATCTTAGTTTTCTGGATATGCTAGCCATTTGCCCAGAAATGTATGCTTGTGTGAAGTCAAAACATGGGATCATATTCACAAGGAGATATAGACAGCTTTCCTCTTGTCAGTCAGGCATCAGTTCACACATATGCCTTTTTTGAGTCTACATTGTGTGCCTTGATATATTGTACGATGGCATGCAGATGGCACAGTGAAAACCTGCAATTGTAAACTTAAATTTAGGTTGTAATCATTATGAATATTATATAGTTTGAGAGAAAAAACACATATGTATAAAATAGAACAAATGGCTTGAGTTTTAACTTAAGAAATGACAAAAAATAACACAATTTAGACTTATCTCCCCTATCTTCAAAATCTTGTTTAAATGTTTTACAATAAAAATAACGATCCAGGTATTTAACTGAGGTTAAAAGTCCACAACTGTGTGTGCATTTGTGTGTGTGAGACCACTGATGTTCCCCTGTGTGCAGCACAGAATCAGAATCTCCCTCAGGAAAGTCTGCTATGTAGCATATTCAGCCTCAGTGAGCAGCAAACGGGGAGAACTGAGGGATTTCTTAACACCCAAACACACACAATTACTGTAAAGCTATAAGCTATAAAATGTAAATAATTGGTGCATACGCACATGATTAACTTGCTCAAGAAACTTTTCTCAAAAAACAATGAAACAGATACCTTTAAAAGTGTAAAAATGAATACAGGTTGCCACAACCAAACCTTAAAATTTGGTCTACCATCCTGTGCCACATCACCCCCACCCCTTACAACACCAAGCCCTCTTGCAAATCCACGCTCGCTCCATCTTTTATGATCACTACAAGGGGCTCAGCTTTCAGAAGCTGTGCAGGGAGCATGTGTGTAGAGCTTTAATTCCTATTGTATTCGTGCAGTCTTGGTGTGTGAGTGTGTCTGTGTTTTAGCAAAAGAGGGAGAGGGAGATAGAGATGAAGAAAAAGACAGGAACAAGGACCCATCTGTCAGCACAGCGCACGATTCCCTCCCATTCCACTCCGAGTCCCAGGGGACCAGAGCGAGACAACTCACTTGTGGCAAGGTTTTTTTTTGTAAGGACAGGGGTTACCCCTTTAATAGCAACAACAGCCCTTAAATATAGCTAAGACTGGTACTTTAGGTCAAATCTTATTATACATTTTTTTGGGCCAGCTCATGTCCAAATATGAATGCATTTTAGCCAGTTTTACCAGCCTCACAAACTTATAACACTTGCAAAATGATCTTAATGTTCTCTCACACTTTCTTAGGATATTTTAAGCCATGTAGTAATATAAGTCTACTAAAAAATTGAATTGGTTAGAAAATCCAGGATAAGAATCATGCAAACTCATCAAAAGTTGTTTTAGATCAAATGTGTCGACCATGACCTTTTCCAGAAGGCTGCCTATCTATGTTACTGCTCAAATGAGAGCAGAACACAATTCCCTCTCTGTTAGTCAGTCAGTCATTTGGGAAACCGATGGGGATTGTGGGAGACTGTGAGGCTTCAATTCCCCATGCAGGCTGCAGGTGTGGTGGAGGCCATGCTCACACTCATGGGACAGAAGGGCTGAATATGTGTTCGGGGGTAGGGGTGTATGTACCTGGGGACCTTTGGGCACATCACATTAGTCTAGAGTTGTTGCCGTACACACACACACACACACACACACACACACACACACACACACACACACACACACACACACACACACACACACACACACACACACACACACACACACACACACACACACACACACACACACACACACACACACACACACACACACACACACACACACAAAGGACATGGGCGCTTCTTTCTCTCTGTCCACATGCCTTTATGGCCAGTGCACTGACCAGCAGTGATTAGGGCCGTTAGTGGGGTGAATAAATGCTGTTTCAGCACGAGACATCATCTTGGGCAAGCGGTGACGCGTGAGCATCCAAGCAACAGATGCCCCCACCCCCCAACGCTTCCTATATCCAGCCATCTGTTCAATAAATCGTTGGGTAAGTGCCTGTTTTTACGCGATGTTGCAGATTAGTCACGTGACCATATCTTTATTTTCTGAGATGTGGAAATACATCGCACCCTCAGAAACAAGGAGAGCCTACAGTGTAGTTGGCAAAGTTCAGTCTCCAACACAGCTGTGCGCAATCGCGCGCACAATGGGATCAATGCAGGGACACGTGCGGCTCGCGAGACCCCGGCTGTCAATGGCCACTGATGACAAAAGACCCCCATTGCGCGGCGGCCCGCCACGCACGAGGACTCGCGGGCGTTTATAAAGCCTTGGTATTTGTTGTCAACACTTGGGAAAATGCTCAATGTTGAGATAGTATGAGTGTTTGAACAGAAAAAGCCTTACACTCGTTTCAAGACCTGCACTAAGGGTTGAAAAGGTAAGTATTAAGTAATTGTCAGTGAGACTTTTATCATTTAGAAAAACAATTTGGAAAAACACTGAAAGTAATACAAATAAAAAAACTACAAATTGAAAATTAGCCAGCAATGCTGTGTTGGCAATTCATCTACGAGATTGGCCGTTATCAAAAATACGGTAGATGGTACGTTTACAAATCCCCCTGCCTGGGTCAGCTTTAAAGCCTATTAAGTACCAGTCCGTTCATTATTGCGCCAATCGATTCAACAATCAGATAGCCCTTGGGGGCAGAATATGACGCTAAAAATGGAAGAAAACAATTGAATGACTGGATGAACAACGCACACACCTGCTCTCTGCACACTAAACTGTCACAATCACTTAAATGCACACACATGGAAGAGCGTCTATTTACTCAGCGAAGACCAGGCCTGCAATGTGTTTAATTAAGTGGAAAATTCCTAATTCAACCGACTAATGAAGAGATAGACAATCGATTAAGATGGTTAACACATGGAATTAAAATAGAATAATGGAATGTTTTGGCTAGTCCCATATTTTCAAGTGTGAAGATGTATAATGTCGCTTCTAAAAAGGAACATTATGCAGGACTTTGTCTGCCAACATGATGCTAGATTGGGACGATGTATTAAAGTGGCCCTTCGGAATTTGTGTTATGGTTAATAACAGAAAAATATGGGTTTATAAAATAATGACAAGTAGGGGAATACTCAAATATTGCCCCTCGTTTCAGCTATAAAATCGTGAGAAAAAAAAACTAATATTCATTATCATGCAAATAGCCTTTTACAAAAATATGACGAAAATATTGCACGTTGAGAATATCTCAGACCGAGAGAACATGCAGGTGTCTAGCCAGCCTGAGTGTGTTTTGCTGCTGATGAGGGACGGATTTCTTTTGGCGTTTATGCATTTAGGGAAAATATTCCTTGGGTGATTGAAAACAAGTGCCGCGGATTTTAGTATGTTCTAATGTGCTCCAATAAAACATCGCCTATAGGCTATATCAATCTGTGCTGCCAACATCATTTATGATGGGAATGTTTAGGAGTGTGCTCCTAAATTTGCGCATTGGATGAAGTGACCCAAGACCTCCCAGAGTTTTAGGAGCGTTTGATTTACAAATAAACATTGTCTACACGTGCAATAGGCCGCGCCCGGTCTCTCTGTCCAGCATTATGTTTCTGGGTGGAACTTCTGGCCACGAGCCCGCCACGCGCGTTTGGATGAATTGATGGTGGGTGGGGCCCCTGAGGGAGGGGCTTACCCGGCTAAGTCAGCGATATCTGCCCGATCGTGCCATTTGGAGAAGCAAGTTCCAAGCGCATTCATGATTATCTGAGGAAGCAGAAGAGTTCAGGACACGAGCAACTCTGGACTAATTCCCAGTTTTATAGACCTGGTCTTACTCTTACTTTACACAGAGCGAGCAATTGCCGAAATCCACACAGGTGAGTTTACACGTTTGTTCATGATCAGCCCAGCTGTATAAAGTAACTGATCCAAATTACATTTTAAAAAGGAATCACATTTTAGACTACTAAATTCAGCAAAATGTCTGTTGATGTCAACAAATTAAAATATTTTATTTTCAGTGCTCTTGCAGTTACGTCCTGTGGCATTAGTCCGGACACAGTTGTGTGTCTAAAGTTCTGAATTCATATATTACAATAATCCGCCACATTTACATGCATTAGTGCACAACTGGGGCAGATATATTTTTTTCTCCAAACAATAGCAAATTCTTTGTCTGGACTTTTAAAAAAAATATTGTTTTAATTAATCGATTGTAACATTTGGGCTATATTAATTTATTCTGCAAGATTTATACATGTAATGAACAAAACAGCTCTAAAATCAGGGCAGCTTGTCCACATGTGTGTTCAGTTTTATGTTGCCTATTTAATCTTTGAGCTTTATGCTGAGTAAATCCTGTCGTGTCCTAGATTGATAGCGTCTCTGTAGCGACTCCAGTATAACAGCAGGGGATCATTTATTCTTAAAACAGCCATATATTTCCTCTATTGGAAAAACACCCAGTACTTCATTCTAAATAATCCCATGTTAGACTGAGCAACCCTTTCTTTAGAGTGAGCTGTCCACACTTCAGTGCTGAAATGAGAGCACTCATTCTGTACACTCATTCATGATATTGACTGAATTGTTTGTTTTTTTCAGATAAAAATGATGACCAAACCATTTGGAAAGAGCGGAGATGTGAGTGAGCTGGTGAGCTCCCTGGGCTGGCTGGAGGAAGATGAATGCAGCTCTCAGGATGGAGAGGAGAACCATGGCATGAGTGTAGGGGGCCAAATTCACTCCTGCACAGACATGGGCAGTGAGGATATGGAGGAAGATGAGGAGGATAACAATGATGATGATGATGATGATGATCAGGAGATTGGACCAAATGGAGAACATGCTCCCAAAAGGAGAGGCCCTAAGAAGAAGAAGATGACCAAAGCAAGACAGGAGAGGTTTCGTAACCGGCGAACTAAAGCCAATGCGAGAGAACGTTCCCGTATGCATGGGCTGAACGACGCCCTGGAAAGTCTGCGCAGAGTGATGCCTTGCTACTCCAAGACACAGAAGCTGTCAAAGATTGAAACCCTACGGCTGGCACACAACTATATCTGGGCCCTGTCGGAGTCGCTCGAGAACGGCCAGTCCCCTGACAGCCATGGCTTTGTGGAGATTCTGTGCAAAGGTCTCTCTCAGCCCACCAGTAACCTCGTGGCCGGCTGCATGCAGATGGGATCCAGTCCGATAAACAACAAGATGGACGATAAGTGTGGAGGCCCGGGGATGGGTGGTGTGGGGGGTCAGGCAAGCCATCCTCTCAGCTTCCCGTCTCCAGGCCTTCCCAGCCCCCCCTATGGCTCCCTGGAGGCATCCCACCTACTCCATATGAAGGGATTCAAGGGGCCTGTATACGACAACCCATCCCCTAACGAGTGCAGCAGCGGCACCCCACCATACGATGGGCCCCTTACTCCCCCCCTGAGCATCAGTGGCAACTATGCCCTGAAGCAGGAGCCCTCTCCACGTGAGCCCGAGAGAAACTACACCCCCCACTCAGGCCACAATTCCCACTACCTCTCGTCGCACCATTACCACACTGGCGGCATGCCAGGGGGGCCTCAGGGCCATCCACTCTTTCAATCTTCACGCTATGAGATGCCCCTCGATGTGGCCTTTGACTCCTTCAATCCCTCTCACCTTGTCGCCTCACAGATGGGCATCTGAAATATGAACATGAAAAGTTGAGAGGAGCAGTGTTTGACTCTTTGAAACTGGCCTGAATAGGAGCTCTGCTCTTGAATGAACTGCTGTACAAATGGCTGTGGTACTGACTGTATAGAGAAATGTGTTTGCATTATGTTGTCTAGTACCTCTGGGAGAGCACTGAATACTCAGAGAGACTTACCACCTCAACTCAATCTACCTGATACAAACACGCACCCATTACTTTGAAATATTTTATTTATTATTTTTTTGTTATGTTATTTAGATTATAATTATTTTTAAAGAATGTTCCCCCTCAGTTGTGACTAAAGATGAATGTACCAAATCAGATATCCACACTAAAGATACACACAGATGTTCCAAGTGTAGAGATTGGAGAAAACACATGAACAAACTAACTTTGATAGGAAATCTGAGTGTCTGCGTATTAAGATAAATTAAACAAAAGTTCATCCAGGGAAAGCCTAAATTGTGCACTGAGGCCTAAAACCAATGTCCCCTACGCCACAAAAAGCAATGCATTTATTTATATCTGTATTTAATATTTATTTTGATTACGTCTTTTTATATTTTTCACAGCAGTTTTTGTTTCGATGTCTTCTTGGTTTTGTTGTCAGTCACAAGCATCTGTACTGCATTTTATTTATTTATTTGAGGTCTTTCAGGTACTTTGAATTTGGTGTCACATTGTGTCATACTGTACTGTAAATATTTTTGCTGTTTCGCACTTAATTGAATAAATATTCTTATATTATATGCTATTTCCTAGTAACAATATTTGCCATGTGTTTTCTGTTACACTTTCATCCTATACTTGAGTTTCAGTTAAACAAAAAGTTAATGTCTCCCTGTATAAAGTATACCTACACTATATCCAGCATCAATACATACAATTTCAAAAACACATTCAAATAGATTCCTTTTTGCTTTTCAAATGTTGTATCACTTTCTAAGTGATAAGGTTTGTGAAATCCCTTTTTTGTAATTTAGAAAAAAATAAAATCCTAATTAAGTTAATTGGAATCCTTTTTAACGGGTAAATCATTGCCAGCTCTAATATAACACTTACTCTCTGAACACACTTTGTTTCAGATGTTAACTGAATTAATGCAATTTGGCCATTATGTTGTGCAGCTTTCTTATTTTAACATCTCTCAGTAGCCTACTTTGATATGAAGGCATATGTTATATGAAACAACTCCAATACACAAACAAACAAAAACAGGAAATTGATTCTGAGACCAAAAAAACAAATGTTAAGTGGCTCAGTTTCATTTCAAAATAATTACATTTGACTCTATTGTACAGAAATTAAGATTAAGTTGCAAGCTACAATAAAGGAGAACTTATTTCCAGTGTGTGTGTGTGTGTGTGTGTGTGTGTGTGTGTGTGTGTGTGTGTGTGTGTGTGTGTGTGTGTGTGTTTCTATGTCATTCAGAGGCTTGCTCTGGGTTTCTATCAGGTCAGACGGGAGGCTGTTGTGGGCCATGGGAAAACAGCTCTGGGGAACAGGTGAATGTGTCAGAGGCTTTTCTAAATCTCTGCTGCTGTTCTCACCCACATGTCCCATTTTCACATCTAGCTCATGCCAAAACACTGTAGGGCACATTCTCCTTTTAAAAGAATTCATCCACATTAACACAGAGAGAAAATAACCAGATTTCTGTTAAGAGACAAGACGATAGATGTTGAAAATATTTAAATATGTTTGGGGAAATGATCTTACCTCTGTCCTCAGTACGTTTTAAAAATGTATTCTAAAGGTGAATGACGAGAAAATAAACTTTAGTTTTATTATTTCCAGATCAGCAAGTTTCCTTCACACATTTATATCACTCAACTAATGACAAAAGTCTGAATTTGACTTTAATGACTGCGTTGAGGGAAATGATTGCACTTGAAACAGACAAAGAGCGGGGGGACTGAGTGTAAAGATGAAGAGGTGAGAGCAAGAGGTGTGTTCAAGTGTGTTTATCATTGTGGTCGGTGAGGCAATTGTAAGAAGGGGAAGGTGCCTCTAAGGCTGTTGTTCAAGAGGACTTCCCCCCTCTTCAGCTACCTCTCCAAAAGGTTTGTCTTTTTCAGTCCTGGCAACAGGGGAGAAAGGCTGGAGGAGAAAAAGGGAGCGATTGTTTTACTGGGCGCCACTGGTCCATTGTGAACGCAGCCTGTTCTTTCTCTTGACCTGTGACCCGTATTGTTGTGGGGCTTCTCGTTTGGGGAGGGCAGACAGCTGGGGGAACTGCGGGGGGCTGATGGACAGCTGGGCCAATTTGGAAAGCAACAGAGATGAGAGTGAGAGCATGTAAGAGAGGGATGAGAGAGGGAAAGGGGAATTAGTGTGTTGGGAGGTTAAAGGAGAAGAGGAAAGAGAAGGAGAGGGCAGAAGAGGTGACCAAGGTCCTTGCTCCCCATTCACAAGTTAGTCCTCTCTGCTCTTGTGTGTCAGCCTTGGCATAGGAATGACACATAGCTTTACACACAGGCAGACATTTGGCCTGTGAGAAAGTACTGGCAGAGTTAGCTGGCGTACACCCTCTATGTGTCTTTGCTGTTTTGTTTCCACAAACATGGTGGGGGCAGGGTATATGTGGATTATACTCCTGAGTTCAAATACATGAAATAATCCACGTAAATTAACTTTGGATACAAGATTACAAAACCCAGAGATAAAGGACAGTCTCTGGAGATTGGAGCATGCTGATGAAGATCACAATTCCACCATTTTGGAAGAAATATTAATAATCATATCATAATTTGGAGGAAATATTTGCATTTTGTTAGCTTGAAATACTTTTTAGGTTTAATATTTGTTTTTTAATTTGTATTCTAATGATGCACTAAACACAATGTATGCCGAAATGATTTTAAAAATGCTGTTTGCGTATCAAGTGGCTCTCATCTATGGTGAGGACATGGAGGTCTCTTAATGGGAAGGGAACACATGCTCTGTAATACCATCTTGGCCGAGACCGCAGCTAGCAGAGCACGACCTGTGGCTGGACCCCCGGGGGAGTGAGGTCATGTCAGACATCAGCCCAGAGAATTAGTGATGCAGCACTTCAACTCTTGATTTCCTAAACTTTTTTGGTCATGTTTTTTTGATTAATGTCTATTTGCATTATTGTGAATAATGGCATTTTTGGCATCATGAAATTATGTTTCACTGTTTTGGCAGAGGAAGTTTGGTTCACCGAGAAAAAAAGACAAAATAACAACAGATAAGTTCTTGAAGTGAGGAGTGAAGCTTGCTCTTGTTTCCTCTCGTGCTCAAATTTGAGTTTCTGTGTGCAGCACACTTAATCCACTGGCCAAACAAGAGTGACTCCCACTAAAATGAAAAGGTCCTGATCCATAGGAGCTAGATGGAGGGATAAAGCATTGTGATTAAGATTGTATTAATGGGGCCATAGGAGGCTGGAAGGCTTTAATCAGTGTCTGTGTGCCGGTAATCCCACTGCCTTTAAACTGGGGCAGACACAGTGATCCCCCCTCCCCTTGAGCCACGGTGCACATGCACACATAGAGACACACACGCCTCTGTGGGGAGCATGGGGATATGAGTGCCCAGGTTGAGAGGTGGAGCAGCCCGAAACGGAGACGCCCTAGACTTAGAGGAGCAGCTGGTAGAAGAAAGACTGAGGAGATGGATGGAGAAAGAGATGTGGGAAACGACAGAAGTAAACAATGGAAGATGGCACGGCTGGCGTTATGAGAAGATGGAGGGATGGTGTTTGCCATGGTCAGCATGGTGGAAGCAATTAAATATAAATGAATAAAACGTATACAGAATCTGGTTCCATCTATCACCATCAGACTGTGTAGCTCAGTTTTAGATTATTCCAAAACAGTTGGGCCAGACCATAGGCCCAGACTGACATTTAGATATGTTTCAGATATTTGTATTTATTTACATTCCTTTCTTAATTTGAATTTTCCAAGCACACCTTTCTCAGTCTTGTATTTAGACAGTGACATTTTTCTGTCATGTATTCCATTGTAAAGACTGTTTTATTGTCAGAGTCCATTGAGTTTTTGTCATGCTCCAGTAAAAGTATTATATCTATATATGGTCTTTGTCCATCAATTTCAGGGAGGGGGGTCTTCAATTAAAAGTCATTTAGGATACATTTGAGTGGCAAGTAGCTGCAGTATGGGCAATACCAGAATATATGCAATTGATCTCCTAAATCCAACTTTAAGTAATAAATGTCCAAAGATGGTTTGTACATCAACAGTTCTAGTTCAACAAAGCAAGGAAAGTACACCCAACTTTATGTCTACTGAGAGCAATAATGCTTAAGACAATTTATTACGTGACAGTTTGTTCTAACGATCCAGGGGAAACAAAGTACATGAGAAGGGAGAAAGAGGGCAGCTCACAGGCTCATTACCTATGAGAATGGGTGTAAAAGGTGACATTGTGTGCATGAGGACAGGGGGTGGTCCCTCTCCTCCCAGAGTTCTCTGAGAGTATTAGGGTGTAGGAGTTAAAGAGCTTCTAATGGGATCTGGATGCTGTCGTGTTTACCCTGCCCCCCCCCTACTGCACGCCCACTGCATTGTGGAAGTTGCTGGGCTTTGGGACACCACAATGGGCTGAGTGGAGGGACAGATGGAGGTCCCTTTCGAACAGGGCACAAAAAACAGCCAAGGCAGGAGGGCCGTGGTGTCTAAGAGCAAGCAGCCAGCATGCAATACTGCCAGAGACGTGGGAGAACATTAGAGGTGGAGGAGGGAAAGGAAACACTGAAAAGGGGACACCTAATTATAATGCAGGGACAAGTAACTTCGAAAGTCCGTTTGCTTTGCTATAATCTGTCAGTAAATTCAGAAAGATCTAGAAACCTTCACAAAGCTTTGGTTCAGGATTACTGTGAAGTCTAGGCTTCTCTGTAAGCTACGTGCCAGCCAATATAATCTTTTATCCTGCATTGTGTTTTCTCAAGTATTTTTCAGAGTGCAACAAGTTATACCTAAACATAAACGCATTTACAGCAAGACAAATGTTTAATTCCTTGGCACTCAGACGTGATTTGCCGTTAAGCACTGTTTATTAAGGGTGAAGCAGGTCAGGCGAGAGGCTAAATGCTGATGTCCTTCATTAAGGCAGTGCAGTGTATATGGCATCAGGGGAGAGGGTTTGGTGATAGATGCTGATGAGGGGAAGCATTGGAGGAGGGTGGTGGGAGGAACCAGGCGCAGGAGCAACAGATGGGGCCTGATGGAAAGCTCAGGTTGTAAACTTTCTGTTGGTAACATCTGTCCGTTTGTCCATCTGCTACATTCACTGTTCAGTTTGTTTAGCAGAAACTCATTAATTCGAAAACAGAACCCTTGGTCACAGTATATTAATTAAATCAGAAAACAACCAAATCCATGTGCAGTAATGCAATGCTGATTCCTATTAAGTGAATGACTAATTTTAAATACATTTTGATTGGTTTATACTTAAAACTGCTTAAATAAAACTGGGGTAAGGGAAAACATATGAAGCCAAGCTCCCACCTTAGTTATGATCCAATCAAATCAACAGTGTTGCACCATTCCCACAGATAAGCCAACATATCACATCTGTGCCGCTGAGGGATAGAAGTCATGCCATGCTGATCTCTTTGTTCATTTTCTGGAGCACAGATAAATAAGTGGATTGACATTGGATGTATATAAACCCTGATCGGAGTTACATTAGCAATTACTGTGAACACTCCTTATAATCTTCACACTTATGCAAACATCACATCACTTGCCTAACTGAATGTCAAACCAACA